AAGGCAGATAGACAGTGTCATTTCCTCAGAAAACCCCCTGTAGGGTCAGCCAGAGTCTTTTCCAACACAGTGGCACATAGATAGTATTTATAGAAAACTGTATCCATGGTGCCACAGTGCATTAAGCATTAGGCTGAGAAACGAAGATCAACAGTTTGAATCTGCCAGCTACTGCACATCAGTATGGAGTTCTGCTTCCATAAAGCTTGACAACTTTGGAAGCCTGGTGGGGCAGTTCATCTTTGTCTTACAGGGATGCTGTGAATCAGAACCAACTCAAAGGCAGTAGACAAGACTGTCAGAAAATCAGCTAGGTTCAAAGGTAAAGACTCGTTTAAAACTTAGACAAAACTGGCCAGCTCCCGCTAACCATGGAAAAAAGGCAAAGTTAAATTTCAGGAAGTTCCAAATAACTTCAAAAATTAAATATGAATCCACTTCCTAAATAATATTCCTCCAAAAACTCTATGAACTTTGATAAGGCTCTCGACTCGAAGGCAATCAACAACAATAGGAAATTAAAGTTTCTCTTATGTTCTTTCAAGAAAATTTATGGGGGAGAAACAAAGCAGGAAGCTGGGTAATTTAGAGGCTTAGGTAAAAGTGATTTTATTACTGTAGTGGTAAAGTTAACCATTTAATGATACCTGGTCAAAGGTTAGTATTAATGTGAAGGCACTTACAGTCAAGTGAAGTTACTTGATCATGCCTGTATGTCCAGTTGCCTAACAGACACCAGAATCTTAAAAGTATCTCAAAATAAAACATGTACAGGACAGATTTCAACCAGGCACATCATCAACTCTTCAGCAAACCTCCAACCCTTCTCTTCATTGCCAGTGTTCTTGTTTCAGAATGGTGCTTTTCAAGAAGCATTTTTGATGCCTCCTTTTCCCTTCCTTACTGACCTGAACTCAGGTAATTTGCTGCATGGAAGGCTAAGGCAAAGACAGGACAAATTAATTCAACAAAAGATAAAAATTATTTGGATGCAAGTTCTGTAACGCCCAGTGTGTGTGCCCACAAATAGTACAACCTGCTGTGGTTTAGGATTTCTGGAAAGGGAACAGTCATTTGCAGATATGAATAGGTGTCCAATGATGTAACTGATAAAGAACACCAGTGCTGTTCTTTTGTTCACCAGTACATTGTCCCTAGGAAACTCACACATGCAGAGGACCCATTTCTATAATGTCACTTTTTATCAAGGAAGATTACCCTTTGCAGTTTTAATCTCTTCATTTTGTAGGCTCCCTTACTGCTGTAAATGCCTCTTAAAGTTAATGTAGCCAGTGTTAGCCTCTCTAATGCTAGCATTTTTTTACCAAATGTGTACAGTGTTCCAGGTTCAAGTTTAGTGAGTCCCAAGACTGTGTGTAGTGGCCTTAGTTGTGAAGACCTGTCACTTGCCTTGAAGCTATGAAGTCGTTAACTACCTGCCTGTAGTTGTCTGGTCTGCTTTATCTTGGGAGAATAAATGCGCTGTATTGCCACAGTCTCTGCTTAGTATGGATGGCCCTTGGAAAATCTTACATTAATTGAGGCTGATTAATATGGTGAGGCAGTATTAAATTATTGTAACATATGGAACAGCAGATACAAGTTTTTAAATCATGACACTGACACCATTGCCTAATTTTTCTACAGTTTCTGGGTAGTGTTAAACAGTTATGTGCTCATCTACTGATAAAATTGGTGGTTCACATCTATCCAGAGATGCTTCAGAAAAGCCTGGCAACAATCCTTTTAAAAAAAAATATTAGTCTGGGGGGCATTGTATAACAATGAAAGAATCTTTTCCTTCAAAGAGAAAAATGCACTAGGGGGTGGGGTGGCAGGGAGGAAAATGTGCAACAATGAATGAATGGGGGGAAAATTAAATGGAAAGAATCTGCTGTAAAAAATATGTATGTTGCATTTGAAAATCATTAATAAAAAAAATAGTCATTACAAACCCCATGAAATTGGATTCAGCTCTGACATGTGGTCATGTGTCAGAATCAATGCTATAAGTAGTTTGGCTTTTGTTTGTTTCGTTTTCCTGCATATCAGTTACTCAACTTTCTGCTTTGTAAGAGCATCACTGTGGAAGAATAGGCAACTACAGTTTTCTTCTGAGCTCTCTGTCCTTTTACTAAGTCTAGATTTCATTCGTCCTCAGACGTACTGTTAATCCCAAGCACTAAAGCTTCCAGATCTGGAATAAAATCAGAAGATTTTCTCAGTCTTAGGGACAGTTGTGCTTTCATTAATATAATTTCTCATTTTCTTTCTGTTCCAGTTAGGTACCCCTTGTGGGCTATAAAATAAGATGGCATGATTTTCCTTTTCTCTTTTGTTCCCTGTCTCTGGGGAAATTCAACTCTCATGATCTTGTATGGTTAATTGTTCTAAAGATTGTTCCTCCCTGGTATTGTGGATCACTTTATATACGTGTTAGGTGCTATTGAGTCAACTAGAGTGACCCTGTGAGCAGCAGATCAAAGCCTTGTCCCATCCCACACCATCCTCACAGCCTCTGCCATGCTTGAGCCCACTGTTGCAGTCACTATGTCAGTCTTTCTCATTGAGGGCCTTCCTTCCTTTCACTGACCCCCCACCTTTCCCAGCATGGTGTATTTTTCTAAGAACTGACTTACCCTAACAGTATACCTCCGTACTTAATTGGTATTCAATGTATCTCAACTTCAGATTAGCAAAGCACAGTTCAATGAATTGAATAATTTGCCCAATATCCTTTCTGTAGTAAATGTCAGAGCTAGAAGTGAGAGTCCATCCCGCCCCCCCCATTCTACAACCTGAGCTCTTTCATCTATAACTTGCTTCAGAGCTGGCACAGTTAAACAGGGGAATGGAATGGAGGTTGTCTAGGGAAAGCCTGCCTATGAAAACACCTCATGACTGGAAGATAAGAGCCAGACAATGAAGAAACAAGAGTGGTATCTTGAAGATAGTACCAAAAAGCGTCTGTTGGACATAGGTTTATTTATAAATGCTTTTTATTCACAGTTCTATTACATGTTGTTGTAGATGTTGTTGAGTCAAGTGCCGTGTGAACAACAGATCTAAACCTTGTCCTATCCACTATCCTCATCAATTCTGATATACTTGAACTCATTGCTGGAGTGTTTGTGTCAGTCCATCTTGTTGAGAGTCTTCTCTTTCCCTGACTTTTCCAAGCATGATGTCCCTTTCCAAGGAATAAGCCCTCCTGACACCATGCCCAGAATTTGTGAGATGAAATAGCATCATCCTTGCCTCTGGCATTGATGTTAAATGTGGAGTCAAGTCATGGGCTTCCGCACAGTTTTGATCCAGAGAGAGCATGACTGAGAAGTCACCTAAAACTTGAAGGAATTGGAGCACTCCAACTTAGTAAAGACTTGGAAAATCTTGGGTTTATAAATATGGATTACTTGTACCTGTCTTGACTCTAAGGAGGTCTAGTGGCATGGTGGATTAAGCATTGAGCTGCTATCCACAAAGCTGCTTCATGGGGGATGAGGAATGAGGCAGTATGCTCCTGTTAAGATCTGTAACCTCAGAAGCCATATGGGACGGTTCATACACTCACCATGAGTTGAAATGAATGGGTGGATGGATCTTGAATCTAGTTATCCCTTCTAACCATCTTCACTGTTCATGTTAAACTCTACAGATTTGTTCTAGATAATTAGCAGAAGTGAATAGAAAGGGCTCTATTATAAAATGGTATCCTGTGTAAGTTTATAAGATGCTTATATAAGGTCTAGGAGACTAACAAATGGGACTTAAATGAAGATAATTACAGTACTTTGCACTAATGGGGTTTATAATTTACAGTGTGTTTTCATAATCTATTTCCTTACTTAAAGCGAGGAATCAACTGTCTGTATTTTAAATGTAAAGTTACTGATTTTTATTCTTCCACACCCCAAGAAGGGATAAGGATATCACTATTAGCAATATTATTAAGTCCAGTCAATAGATCATATGTAAAAGTCATGTTAAAATTGCACATTCTCTTAAGTGTTTTTAAACCAGGTTTTAAATATTTTTTTTTTGTTTTGCCATTATTGTGGATGTATAAACCAAGGATTATTAAACAGAATTACCCAGGCCTAAAATGAGAGTATATTTATATTCACTAACTGGAATTACTAATACAGCTAAAATTTATGTTGAAATTTTTAAATATTTTTTCTTTGTAAGATGAACTTTATTTCTGAATGTCCATTTAAAAATATAAAAGATATTGTCACCAAAATTGAAAATATGACAAGACTGTCATGCCTTTTAATTGGCTAAATACTCTCACGCATTGAATCAGAAGTATCTCTGCTGACTTAGAAGCAGTTAGGGTCAGAGTACCCACTCTGTTTATGATTTGAATAAAACCAAATGAATGTAAAACTGTTTATTTAGAAAAATTACAATACTAATTCCTTCTTTCTCTTTGTCTGTTTAGTGAGAATTCAGCAGAGACAATAGCAGTTGATTCTAACAATCAGTCGAAATCCCCACTGGAGAAGTTTATGGTCAAACTCTGCACTCATCATCAGAAGCAGTTCATTCGTGTTCTGAACGACTTGTACACTGAAGCTCAGCCAGGCACAGAGGGCCTGCCACCTGATTCTGGAGCAATGGAGGCGTCTGCCTGCAGTGCTGGTTGTGCGCAGCTGAGCACCAGACATAAGGAAGAGGATGCCATGTGTCTTGATATGAAGTCATCTCCTTCTGTAGATCTGTTCACAGACCCATCAGACTCGCACAGCTCTCTACATATGGCAGAACAGACACACCTGGATCCTCTTCCCGAGACAAACTCAGTAGATGGAAAAGAAGATGCCGTGACAATAATCCAGAAAGATTTCTCTGAACTTTCAACCACTAAACCTAATTCTAGCAGTTCAATAGATAGTTCCACTCTGGGATACCTCGCTCCATCTAATTTATCCTCATTACATTTCCACCACATAGCTAAAAGTGTGGAGGGGCTAACCACTGGACAGGAGCAAGACATGATTACAGAAGTATGTGAAGATGGTAAAGACTGTGTGCAGAACTCCACAACAGTAGAAAGCCTAACTGCAGTAAAAGTAGCAACTGAAAACAGTGAGGAGGGCAACAGTCATATCATTCCTCAAAGAAATTCAGTCAAAGCTTTATCAGAAGAGGCATGGGACTCAGGGTTTACGGAGAACTTGGCTAGAACTGCTGACAAAGAGAATGCTTTACAGTGTAGCTCAAAAATGCCTTTGCACCAGGATTTAGAGGCAGATGAACAAGATGGAAGGTCAAAACAAGAGAACCATCTTCACTCACTAGGAAGAAACAAGGTGAGTTACCATTTGTATCCCAGTGATAAGGGCCAATATGATCATTCCAAAGATGGTTGGTTAACCCCCAGCCCTATGCCAGTTGTGCACAAAGCATCTAATGGACATTCACGCACCAAGCCAGTGCCAGCCTCCATCAAGACTGCTCGGAAAAGTAAAAGGGCATCCGGACTGAGGATAAACGATTATGATAACCAGTGTGATGTCGTTTATATCAGTCAACCAATAACAGAATGCCACTTTGAGAATCAAAGATCAGTATTATCATCTCGGAAAACAGCCAGAAAGAGTACTCGAGGATACTTTTTCAACGGTGATTGTTGTGAGCTGCCAACTGTTCGCACATTGGCAAGAAATTTATATTCCCAGGAAAAAGCAGGTTGCTCAGTGTTGGCATCAGAGGCACTGGTTACTCCCAAGCAAACCTTTGCACCTTCACCCCCTAGACCTACAGCAGATGTGCACCTTCCTACAGAAGACAGTCCTGAAGAACCTGGTAAGGAACTAATCTCCCTTAAAGAAAGAGGCAGAAACACGCCAACTGAAAAGGAAGCAGAAGAAGCTGAGAACGTGATGGATGAACCGAATGAGAGCAGTTCTCCTAGATCAAAGGAAATGGTAGCCTCCAGCCTGCTATGTCCTCTCCCGGCTCACATCCCTGAAGAGGACATGCCAAAAAGCAGCTCCCCTGTTAACACTGTCTCAGCATGTAGACTATTTCCTGAGCAAGATCAACAACCACAGGAACACCTAGATACAGAGAAGGTGAGTGCTGTCCAAGACTGGCATCTTGTTCCCTCTGCTGAGAGCATTTCTGAGGGAAGCCGTGAAGAAGTTCTTTGTTCTCTTAAAACAGTCATTACAGAGCAAAGTCCTGTTTGCTTAGAAACTCAAAGGTTCCCAGTTGACTTCGAGCCACCTGTGAGTCAGGGTAAGGCTAAAGATAGTGAAAGGTTCGGTCCTATGTCCAACATGATAATCAGTCCTGAGGCTGAGATAAGTATCAGTCCTGAGATAAAGACAAGCATCAGTCCTGAGGCTGATACTAGTGTTGGTCCTACCCAGACAAGCATCAGTTCTCAGAATGAATCAAGCATCAGCCCTGAGGCCCAGACAAGCTACAATCCTGAGGCCAAGACAGGTATCAGTCCTGATACTGAGTCAAATGTCAGTCCTGAGATCTTACCAGGTGTCTCTCCTGAGGTCAAGGCAAATGTCAGTCCTGGGCCCCAGGCAAGTGTCAGACCTACAGTTCAGACGGATGTCAATATTAAGACCGAGACGAGTATCGAGGTAGGCATCAGACCTGAGATGCAGACAAGTGTCAGTCTTGAGGCTGAGACAAGCGTCATTCCTGAGGCTGAGACAAACATCAGTTCTGAGGCTGAGACAGGTGTCAGTCCTGAGATACACACAGATGTCATTCTTGAGGCTGAGACAGGTGTCATTCCTGAGGCTGAGACAAACATCAGTTCTGAGGCTGAGACAGGTGTCAGTCCTGAGGTCCAGAAAGGTGTCAGTCCTGAGGCTGGGACAGGTGTCAATCCTGAGCCTGAGACAGATGTCAGTCCTGAGGCTGAGACAGATGTCAGTCCTGAGCCTGAGACAGGTGTCAGTCCTGAGGCTGAGACAGGTGTCAATCCTGAGCCTGAGGCCGATGTCAGTCCTGAGGCTGAGACAGATGTCAGTCCTGAGGCTGAGACAGGTGTCAGTCCTGAGGCTGAGACAGGTGTCAGTCCTGAGGCTGAGACAGGTCCCGAGGTCCAGACAGGTCTAAGTCCTGAGGCTGAGATAAATATCAGCTCAGAGGCTGAGGCAGATGTAAGTCCTGAGGCTGAGACAAACATCAGCCCTGGGGTAAAGATTAAAGACACTCAGGAGCTCAGTGCTCACCTGCTCTTGAGAGGAGACAATGTCTTTATAAAAGAAAATCCCAGTGAAATTGAGGAAAGTGAGGCAGCAGATGATAAGGGAAAATTAGAAGGGAGTGATGTCAGGCATCCGTTAGAACAAGATATGTGTGATCAAAACATTGATTCTCCTGAAGAACATTTGGACAAGAAGAAAAAAAGTAAAAAATTCCCTGAGGCCTCTGATAGGTGCCTAAGAAGTCAACTTTCAGACTCTTCCTCTTCTGATAGGTACCTAAGAAATCAAAGTTCAGACTCTCCATCAGCTTATCCTGAGATCAAGGTTTCTAAAAATTCTCCTGCAAAACGTGTTAAAAAAGAAGGATGTCTGGGTGGGTCCCTGCCTGACGACTTTCTGATGGGCAGTTACCACACAAAAGCTCGAGAGGATACTGAAAACCTAAATGATGAAAATCCCTTTGCTAAATATATGGAGCAGGAGAGTGATGGGGGCGGGATCATCACCAGGCAGACTTTTAAGAACATGCTGGCAAAAGAAGTCAAGGTGGAAAAAAGTGACATTGTCCCTGGCAGTGATCCCTTAGCCCCTGTTGGCCAGCCCCTGCCTGGAGAGAGCCTAGAAATCTGTGTGCAGTCTAAGTTAAGTGTGCAAACTGCTCACGCCCCCCCTGACAGTATCCCTCCTAAGAGGGAGCCAGAACCCTCACAGGAGAAGCCGGGACATAGTCCTATTCAGGATGTGGAGGAAGTCGTGAATGAGGGAGACAGTGGAAGTCCTCTGCGTCAAGGTGATGGTGATGATGCAGCACCATCCAGCTCATGTGCGTTATCAAGCAGTAGAAACGATACTGCCGGGTCACCAAAACCGACACTGAGGCCGAGAAGACTGACTTCTTCCACCTACAACCTAAGACACGCACATTCCCTAGACTCTTTGGACACTACAAAAGTGGCTTTGGACAAGGAAGCAACGCTAGTCATCAACCCAACACCAAAGGAAAGCGACGCATCAGAAGGCAGAGATGCCTTAGAAGAGGACGATGTAGACACAACGGTGGAGGAGCAACCAAAGTTTGTGGAGTGGTGTGCTGAGGAGGAGAACCAAGAGCTCATTGCCAACTTCAATGCCCAGTACATGAAAGTTCAGAAGGGCTGGATCCAGTTGGAGAAAGAAGGACAGCCAACCCCAAGAGCAAGGAACAAGTCTGATAAGTTGAAGGAGATTTGGAAAAGCAAGAAAAGGTCACGGAAGTGTCGAGGTTCGTTAGAAGGCCAAAAGTTTTCTCCTGTTCAGATGTTGTTTATGACAAACTTTAAATTATCAAATGTTTGTAAATGGTTCTTAGAAACAACTGAAACTCGATCGCTTGTCATTACAAAGAAGCTCAATACTCGTCTGCCAGGAGACACTCCACCTGCTAAGCATCCTCTTCAGAAATACTCTCCTTCCAGCCTGTACCCAAGTTCACTACAGGCTGAACGTTTGAAAAAACACTTAAAGAAATTCCCTGGAGCTACTCCTATTAGGAATAATTGGAAAACACAGAAGCTCTTGGCTAAGTTTCGAGAGAATCCTGTCCACATGGAGACAGAGGAGGGCAGTGAAGCCAGCCTCAACCCTAACTCTGAAGGCAGCATAGAGGAGGTCAAGGAAGAAAGAAACAGCCATGCTCCTACGAACTTGCCAACACCAGCCAGTACTCGAATCCTTAGAAAATATTCCAACATTCGAGGAAAGCTCAGAGCCCAACAGAATTTCCTCAAGAATGAGAAAGTAGAATGCCCACTTGGTGCAGCTGCGGACAGTAAGCAAAGCCGTAAGAGTGTGTGCATCAACCCTCTGATGTCCCCCAAGCTGGCCCTGCAGGTGGATGCCGATGGGTTTCCAGTCAAACCCAAGACCACGGAGGGAGGGAAGGGGAGGAAAGGGAAGCAGAGCCCAGAAAGTGTGCCTAAAGCAGAAGTTCAGAACAAAAGAAAAAGAACAGAAGGCAGCTCTCAGGACAAAGCTCTTCCCTCCAATAAGGACAAGGGACTAGCAGGGAAAGGCAGCAGAGAAAAACAGCTTGATGGATCCACCAAAACCCTTGCCACCAAGAAGCCAGCTGCAAAAGACAAAATCAGCCAATTGCCCAAAAAGATCTCTTTGAAAGAAAACAAAGTGAAGATCCCTAAAAAGTCCTCCGGGAAGGGCTGCCCTCCCTCCAGGAAAGAAAAAGAGAACACCAACAAAAGGCCCACTCAGACCCCCGTCTCAGAAACTCTGACTAAACCTGTAAAGCATAAAGGAGTTGGTGAGCCCCCTTCAAAGCCTCCAAAATACAGGAACAGGAAGCAGAGCAGTGGAAAGACTCAGGCCAGACCCCTGATGAAAAGCCCAGAAAACAATGCTGCCCAGAGAAAGCGAAAGCTGGAGGCGAAGCTGGACCCTTCCCATAGCAAGCGGAGACGGTTGGACACAAAGTGACGTGAAGGGCAAGCAGCCAAGAGTCCAACTGCTCCGCAGAAGTTACCTTTTCTTTTGCATTAACTAAACCTGCTTGTATAAGCTTACCAAGCCTTTCAGATCTGCAGCTGATGGAGAACACCACCACTTGAGGTGTCAGGAAACACGCCTCCCACAGAGAAGGGAACTTGCTCCGTCTTTCTCTGAGGCTGAGCAAGGGAAGTTATAGATTATCTTCTGGTTGTTCCTTGGGTTTTAAACTTGGAACCAAGCAGTTTTAGTTTTTAAAAGTACAGTGCCTTATTTATCCTTTTATTTTGTTTTGTTTTTAAATTTACAAAAGCTAAAAAGCTGATCTATGTGATTAAAGGCTTGTATTTTATACTTGATGCACAAGCACTTGTACTGTAGTGAGAAAACCACCTTCATACACAGAAGTAGCTTTTCAGCAGTCGCCCTGCAGTGTCTGTACACAAACAGTCCTCCCCTTTACAATCCCAGCAGTCACTTTCCCTCTCTGTCTTACTCGCTTAAGTGATATTTGAAAGCTAAACCAAATCATTTTTATTATACGTGGAGAATGCAGAGGGAATTTAAAGCTATTTAAAAGTACTAGTATTTCCCTTACCCCTATTTTTTTAAACAACATCCTGTTCAGTGTTGACCACTCCTTTCCCCTTTGAGCTAGTGGATTCCCAATTATATACCGATACAACAGTAGACATGCCACAGATGTTAATATTTGTATTATTTCTAAAAATTCTGTCCATCCACAAACTATATTTCTGATCCTTAATCATTCCTCTTCAGAGTTTGGCCTGGCAGACTTGCTAGCTCCAACAGAATTTTCTTCTGACGTTAGAAGGGGATTTTTTTTTAAATCTTGTAACTAATTTGATGGGTAGGATGAGTTATATTTGACTTTCATAATACTTCTATATGCAAAGAAATGCAAAAATATTGCTCCCAGTAACATAACTTTTAACAATATATGTGAATGTTCTTTGAGTGCATTTGCATATGCTCATCAGCCACAAATGTGTCCCAGGCCAGGTTTTAGGGAAATTCTTTCTTCTCCATGCATTGTGCCACGCTGTTCATAAGCGTGGTATTGAAGACCAGCGGGTTTACATTTGGCCTGTTTTCTGTCTATATCCCGTATCATACCCATAGTACCAGATCCAGAAATACCAAATGCAGAGTTACATAAAGGTCAAAGCAATCTTGCAGTTGGCATAAGCAGCCCCAGCATTTCACATTGGGCTTCTCCATACCCTCTACGCCCAGAGCTGGTGTTAAGTGTAAACTTCTGTGTGAGTGTGCCTGGTAACAGCCTGTCAGTCCTGTTTGCTCAGCACCTTATTGGTAGAAAATGCTCTGAGGATCCCTTCTACCCACACCATGTCAGGCTCCGTTTCATGATTCACATGTGAGTCCTGCAATATTTGTGACTGATGTTGCTTTCCTCCAGACCCCCAAATGAACCTGAGACGGGTGTGTTGGCTCTAACTTGGTGCCAATAACATTGCTCCATTATTACCTATGTCACGGTGTGTACCTGATTCCTACGGGACTGCTCTACAAAACAAAAGGAAAACAACTTTGATTTTGAAAGCTGCTACTACCAGCTTTTTTAATATGCTTTCACAAAAACAGGCTCATATGGACAGCGGCTGCCCTCTCTCACACAGACACAAACACACAAAAATTCCATTTAGGTTGTTAAGTAATCTTTTGCTAAAACCAGATGGATATTTCCCTCCCAGACCTCAATGCATTATTTTGTTCAAATCATGATAAAACAGACATTCTACACATTCTATTAAAGGTTTGCTGTAGATAGTGAAAACTTCTGATGATTGGATAAAACTAAAGAAAGCATTGGATTCGTGAGAAATTGAGAATTTTGTTGAATTTCATCAATCATGAAGTTTACTGTCTTCGGTGAAGCTTGCTTATTGTTACTGCCTGAGCCTCTCTCCCATGAACCTTTTCTTGTTTTCCTTTTTAGTATCTTTGCCATTTAGGAGCTACCTATGTTAATACTGCTGAGTGTGTATGTTGGCGACACTTTCTCAGCATTAAGTTGCACAGAAGCATTAATGTGTTTGAGTAGGTTCATGTATTCTTTTTAAAAAGTGTATCTTTCCATATAGTTGTCACTGGATATTGTTTTTGTGGGGCTTAAAGATGTTTGCCACTATCAAGTGTGATATGCTGGTTTCTGTACATACATTTGCAGTGGCCTCCAGCCGCACATAGACTACCTTATAAGGATGCTTGGATGATGCCAGAGAGAGGGATGAGGCAGTAAACAGGTAGACCTTTTGTAGTTTTAGGTTTCCAGTTCATTCCATTACTATGTCTTGTTTTGTGTTTTAAAGACACATCTCTCTCCCCCTTTCTAGACAGCATTTGAGACAAAAATATCCACCTAACAATGCAGTAAATCATCTTGCAAATCATTTTATACCTTGTAATAGTGATTACATTTCAGTAGACTTTTTCAATGTAATTAGGACACGTAAGCATTTAGAATTTTTTTATATTTACTGGATCTCATCCTTTCCCACTGAGATAATGTTGTTAATAGAAGAAAATACTAAAAAGTCCTTTTACACCTACAGCAGCTGCTGGCAAACCTATCCCCAAGCTGCCGTGGTGACTCCAGCCTCCCCATGTTTTCTTTGCCTTGCAAAGTCATCCTGCCAATAACCATCTTCCTGACTTGCCACCAAACACACAGGCAGTCTTTTCCTTATTCTAGGTTCCAAATCAGAATTTAATTCTTCTTCAGAAAAAGCAGCTGGAGCAGATTTAATGGCTAGAGGACACTAGTCTCCTCTCTGAGCTTCCTAAAGGACTGGGATGCCTGCAGAGTAGGCCCTCTTCATGACACCCATTGTCCATCCCCTGGAGCTCCTTGGAAAGGGAGGACAACACAGAGACAGAGCCTAGGACTTCACCCCCTCTTACACTCCCTCAGACATCTGGTAGGCTTGCAGTGCAGCAAGGCCATGAACCGCCATCCTGTTCTTGACGCTTCCTACATAAGAATGTTACCCAAGTTTTTGATCAGCAATGAATTAGGCTTTTAAGCTATCCTGATTCTGTTAGATCTTTAATGCACTAAAGACGTCTACACAAGCCTTATCTTGAGTGGAGAGAGAGAGTGTGTGTGTGTGTGTGTTTGTGTGTGTGTATGTGGTACCCTGAAGGTTTCATGCCTCATTATATAATCGTGTGGATAGAAGAGGTTTGACTAGTCATCCCTTTCTGTCTGTGGCCTTTCCTACTGGGTGTGTTTCTCACCATTCAGATAGATCATCAATAGAAGGCATCACTTTATGACCATTACTTTGAGGTTTTCATTTCTTCTTAGTAGCCTCGTTCCTGCCTTGTGATGACATCTTTGCTGAGACCTGAAGCTGTCACTGTCATTTGTGGCCAACATTGATTAGTGAACCTAAGAGTGACATAAAAAAAGACAGCATGCCCTGTGATGCAAGCTGGGGATTCTGTAGTGTCTTTATCAGCAAGTCACATGTCTTGTCACACATCTGGAGCTGGACTGGCTGGGAATAGCCCAGGGGCTAGGCTTCTGCCCAGGGAGTGGATCTTTTAATATCTCTAGGGTCTGTACACCATGGGCTGGCCACTGGGTTTTGTACACTGCTCTTTATTGGGGCATTGCCATGCCCACTTGTTCACAGGTTGTGTGTGGTTGCTTTCACATCATAAAGACAAAGGTTTTTTAGTAACTGCAGCATAAACAAGATAACACCTTCCCCCAAATCTAAAATGTTTACTGTCTGGATTTTAAGAAAAAGTGTGCTGCTCTGTGCTTGAGAAAATTAAGGAGTAAATCTCCCCTGATGTATCTTCACTTTCCTTCTGCCACTTTCCATTGCTGCCCTCCTCTTTCTCTTCATTTCTTATCACAGTTTTTTCGAAGGAGGCATGTTGCATTGGTATAGCACATCAATTAGTATCTTCTTAAATTTGAATTTCAGTGCCCCATCTTCCTTTTTAAAAACCACCCAGTCCAGTAGCCAACAGTGAGGCCACATGTGGCCTATAGAGCTAGAACCCATGAACAGGTAAGATACTCAAAGATTTAAAATGTAGTCTAGGCGTCCGTTCTTGGCTCTTACTAAAGGAAGGCAATCAGGATTTTATTTCTTTTAAAAGTTTGTTTTGTTTACTTGGTTGGACTTTCACTTCTACATCTTTTTTTAAATGGACAAATCACCAACCCAAAGCATTATTTGTCCTTATTTGGGGGCTGCTAGGAAGATAAAAATGATATTTTTTTTTCTAGTCACATACTGCTGTTTCAAAGTGATTTTATAAAAGTTAATTCTAAAAAGAGACTAAAAGTGCTTTCATAAATTAAGAGAGCATTATAACTTACGTGTGACTGAGGAGTTGTGGCTTATATATTCATATTAATCCCAGTCAACTTCCAAAATTTTCCTTGTCTCCGAAACTTTAGGGTAAGTTTCTCTGGTATTTTCAGTATGAGGTTGAATATTGTGTCAGTAAAAAAAAGAAAAAAAAATAGTCACTTGTTTTGAAACCACAAGTTATCATTTTTAATTCTTAGCTGTTTTGTGTTTTTTGGCTTACTGTACACTAACACACCAGAATTTTTCATTTTTTTTAAGCATTAATTCATGTCTATGTATCTTTTGGAGCACTTGTGGCTAGTATCAAGAAGCTACACTGCAGTCCCAAAGGCATGCAGTTCAAATCCACCAGCTTCTCTTCAGGAGAAGGATGGGCTGTCTCCTCCCATGTAATTAACTGCTTCTGAAAACCTGCCAGAGAGCCAGCTAGGTGTCATTTCTGACTCAAAGGTACACAACAATAATGTAAATAGTAAGGATGGGTCAGGATAGGACAAGTTTGTGATCTTTTGCTCATCAGGTGGCTATGAGTCCGTCAACTCGATGACCACACACACGCACACATAATGCATTGAGAAGGCACCCTCACATTTTGGTTCCCTGTGCTTGCTT